GACAAGATGTCCTTCCCTTAGGATTAGGCAACAAGATGTCTTTCCCTTAGTGTTAGGCAACAAGATGTCTTTCCCTTAGGGTTAGGCAACAAGATGTCCTTCCCTTAGTGTTAGGCAACAAGATGTCTTTCCCCCAGGGTTAGGGTTAGGCAACAAGATGTCCTTCCCTTAGTGTTAGGCAACAAGATGTCTTTCCCCTAACGTTGTGAGGCGAACACCTCATGCCCATACCTCTGTATAGAGACGACTGGCCGAAGTTTGGCTCCACGTGTCACGTGACTATCCTTTTATTCGTGACAAATAAATCCTTCCATACACAAATCATTTGAATAGCACAAACAGCTCCTTCACTTGACGATACAATAGTAGGCTACATGCGGTGAATGGTTAATGTGATGTACAGTTTATGTGAAGCACATGTGATATGAAGGATATCTGTCCAGGATTGGTTCTATAGTAACATCAAGAATGATTCAGGTCAAGCTAGTACCTAGAGTTACCCAGCACAATGATGGCCGTGGTTCATTACGGCGACGCAATAAACTATACCTTTCGGGGATAGGAGTGTGGTTTATTTCACCATTCAAGCTTTCAGCAAATAAAAATTACATGTGACCTTAGGTAATGACAACTTCCTTTTGCCGATGTTAGATTTGATTTAAATAGTAAATGTATAGCCTCGATATTATCATGCCATCTTCATTAATAAATATTCTCCAGAAATCAATTCATTATATCTTCCGTTGACTTAGTCCTTACGCTGTATATATATATATATATATATATATATATATATATATATATATATACATATATATATATATATATATATATATATATATATATATATATATATATATATATATATATATATATATATATATATATATATATATATACACATATATATATACATATATATATAATATAAAGTTCAATTCTGTATATTGTTTGTATGTAAAATGTTTGTCGTGGATTACAAAGGAATATAGGAAAAAACGAAAACAATACTTCTATGGATTCAAGTGTTAGATTATTAAAGTACTCAGGGTCTAAATTTATGAGTTTAAAAATTAATATTGAATGTCTTTAAAAACAATTTTCATTTTACATACTTAGAATAATAATTTTCAATTACGAACATTACATAAAATTAAAATAAAAGGGTATCAACGTTTATAAAATTTCTAAAATTGTGTCTGAAATGTATTTGCATTTTGTCCTTTAGCGCTCATTACGTCCCTTGATTTGTAATACACAGTTACTTCCCTTTAAAAAACCCATTAAATCGGGGAAGAAAGGATTTACTTTTTAATACTTCGTTTTGGTGTTAGGAAAAAAAAATTACATAATTAGCGGGGATTGATTAAGTGCAATGTAGTTGGTATTTTTAATACTGCCTTTTATTTATTCTATACACCGAACGTACTGTTTACTAATTCTTTTTTTTAAATCAATAACAGTTAATAAGCCAGGTCCTACAAATCCTTTATGTTTATTTCTTTCCATTTACGAATAAGCTTGGAGTATTATAATTTTGTTCACTAAATTAAAACAGGCGCGTCCGCCGGCGCCCCTGCACGGTTCGATTTGGCGTCCTGGGCTATCATGTGAGCGCTATGGTGCATAATTTCGCTTTAAACATTGCGATAGACTATGGATAAGAAAGGTTACTAGTCTTTAAGTGAATCAAATCCGGGCGTCCTCCGGCAGCCCGACAGGGTGCTATTTGGCGCCCTGGGCCTTCCCGTGTTTGCTATGGTACCTACGTTCGCGTGAGTTAAAAAGACTATGAATAAGTTGGTAACTATAGTCGTTTACTAAGTTGAATCAGGCGGTTACGTCGCACGTCGTCATGGTGCGATTTGGCACCCCGGGCTAGACTGTGGACACCTTGAGTTTATCTTTGTGTTTGTGTTTTCTTTGTGTTTGAGTTTGGATTTGTTTTCATTTGCTTTTTACTTTCTCGTATATACGAAGTATAGAGAAAGTCTTGTAATCGTGCAAAAAAAAAAAATCGAGATTTTTGCAAATCTCGACGTTTTGCATCTCACTGATACGGAAAAACATAATTTTGCAATCTTGTCCGTATGTCTGTGTGTCTGTGTGTGTGTCTGTGTGTGTGTGTGTCCGTGTGTAAACACGATAACTTGAGTACCGTTACAGCTAGGTTGATGAAATTTCATATATAAGTATTTTATCAAAATCGTAGATCCGTATCAACTTTTGAGCGATTTCTGACAACCGGAAGTGGTACTTTTTCTACTTTGAATTTTTCAAAAGCCTATAACTTGAGTACTATTTCAGATAGATAAATAAAATTTCACATGTAAGTAAAAGATCTAATTCTCTACCTTCTGTTAAATTTTGAGTAATTTCCGTTGACCGGAAGTAGTAATTTACGCTACTTCCGATTTCTCAAAAAACTAATGTAAATTTTTAAAGTAATAATAATATTGCGCACTATTATGCGCTTTTTTATTTCGCGTTCACTTGGTGTGCAATTAATTTGTCTACGAGATTTTATTCTATTTTTAAAACTTTAAGTATTTAAAATGGATTAAAAATCATGTCTATAGCCCGAGTTCCCATCCCCTGTTATTTTATATAAGAATATTCGAGAAAGTTTAGGGGAGATCACTCCCGGTTTATTTTCTTTGCGTTTGTGTTTTCTTTGTGTTTGAGTTTGGATTTGTTTTCGTTTGCTTTTTTTCTTTGCGTTTGTGTTTTCTTTGTGTTTGAGTTTGGGTTTGTGGTTGTGTTTGGATTTGGGTTTGTTTTCGTTTGCTTTTTTTCTTTGCGTTTGTGTTTTCTTTGTGTTTGTTTTTGTTTGTATTTGTGTAGATAATATATATATATATATATATATATATATATATATATATATATATATATATATATATATATATATATATATATATATATATATATATATATATATATATATATATATATATAAGTGTGAATATCAAATCTACATTTACACAACTCAGAATTCACACATTTAAATGCCATTCCTTCTAGTCCTAACTTAAATACTTGCACTGCCTAAGTAATTTCAGAATCACAAGTGTAAACGTTGTTCTTCCGAGTCCTAATTTCACTTGTACTGCTAGGTAATCTCAAAATCAAAAACGTAAGTGTCATCGTCTCTAGTTCTAACTTTACTACCTGCACTCCTATGTAATCTCAGAATCACACGGGTAAATGTTATCATCACTAGTTCTGATTCCACTAAGCAAACACGGTTTGAATCCTTCTATGAATACACATCCGTACTCACAACAATCTAGCTTGACAGGAACTGGAATAACACATTTAGCCACTGGCGCAAGCATCGGGCCACAAAGATAATGGCCACTGGAACGAACAACATATCTACACGGCAGACGTTTGGCCACTGGTACAACATTGGCCACATGTATAAACATAGGTCACATATGTAAATATCTGGAACAAAACACATATGTACAGGAACAAAACATCGGCTGGGCCAATAAACCAGCCTTAGTGGCCAGCCTTAGTGGCCAGCCATAAGGCTGCCACCATTCGAGGCCTAGACCATCGTGTCTAGCCTCAGCTATGTGTCTGTGAGAGAGAGACCTCTACATATCCGCCCTTCCTCATATATAGGCTAGTCTAACCCTCCCTTATCATCCCCATAGAGCCCTAGGATCCGAGTTGGGCTCCGTACCATCTCTCGACGTTCGAGATAACACCGGTCACTATGCACCCATGCTTTGCACACCCGATAATTGACCGCTATGGATCTTCCCGTAGTCTCAGGGCTAACGATCGTGTCACACTTCGCTCGAGCTAACGGCACTCCCGCCGCGTTTCTCGCCTGAACAACTGACCGACACAGGCCCCTACGCTGCTCGCGTCTAATTCTCCGGCCCAGGCGATAATAAGTCCCTAAGGTCATCGGAATAGCTTCTGACGTCCACCTGCAGATCATGAGTCATGATCCAACCGTGACGTCCAGCGGCATGCCCGGACTTAACTTTAGACATAAATCACCGCAGGTGTCTTCCCAGCATTACGTGTCACTCATGCACCTGCACAGAGCTCGCAAGTCTTAACGACCAGAGCGAGCCGATAACATTTAATTAAATTTTAGATTTCCCCGGCCTGCTCGTCCCCAACATCTTAGATTAACCCCTTGGGTTTCTGTTACTAGTCCTAGTCACCTTAGCCCCTTTAATAAGCACCCAAGTTACCATTTTACTTAAAAATAAACAATATAGTACCAGCCAATTTCGATTTTCAACAGCCCACCTGCCAATAGGGTTCCATTTTATAGAAAAATAAACCGGGAGTGATCTCCGGTAAACTTTTGATAGAAGGCACGGCTCCCGGTCAAAAACCCCCTGGACAACCCCCCCCCCCCCCCGACATAAACCCCCTGGACATAAACCCCCCGACATAAACCCCCTGGACATAAACCCCCCGACATTAACCCCCTGGACAAAAACCCCCCGCGACATAAACCCCCTGGACAAAAACCCCCCGCGATATAAACCCCCTGGACAAAAACCCCCCGCGACAAAAAAACCCCAATTGAGTTTTATAATATAAGGAAAAACCAAAGATGATGAGAAACAAAATTAATATAAAAATACAAAACAAACATTAGGAAAAAAACTTTTATTTTTATTATAACTTTAAAAAGACAGCTTGTGAGCGATGCCTCGCAAATACTCAATAATGGTGGACTCATTAAATTTTTTAACAACAGTTAAAATTCGAGAGCTGCTATCAATATATTTTTTTTTCTGTTTTGGTAAACAGTGACCTGAATTAATCTGTGTACAATAAACCTCTTGGAGAGATTGTTCCTTTTTAATAAAGTCAATAAATTTCCAAATATTTGGCTGGCAACATCCCATATGCGACTGAAAACTTCTGTGCCAGCCTTCAACTGAGTTGTTTGTTTTTGGCATATGGTCTTCTGCACGTGTGTGCATGTTCCACATGTCAAGTGGGAACATAGGTTGTCTTCAACCTCGACGTTGTGGTCTGCCAATATAGTAGTCCTCAAAGTAGTCTGCAATCGGCATTGCTTCTTGGGGGAAAATTTCCAATAATTTTTCAAAGGCATAACTCATGTGTTCGATGGGAACAAAGGCCAACGCAGGTAGCATTCTGAGCTTGAGAGCAAATTCACTATCAACTTGGTAGAGTTGTTGAAGGCCAGAGTCCTGAATTTTTCTGTATATATTTTGGCTAAGATGGAAGAAACATCCTTTTACCTCACACTCTGGAACTACCCTTTCAACACTTTTTATCACAGCCATTTCAAAGTCAATCATAATAGAAATTGGTTGCAGGTTTGTGTTTAAGACCGTTAGCTGCTGTAAGAGTGCTGTGTATGTTTCCTGTGTTTTGTTTTGAAGCAAGGCATAAACACATGGAGCAGTGCGTCCATTGACCAATGCATGGACTGTGTACAGTTGTGAAAACAATGCAGGAGTTGTTTTGAATGTACCATCCATAAACCAGTGCTGATTAACCTCCAATAACCTAAGGTTGTCCTTGGTTCCAAACAAAAACATCCTACCTTTTGATTTGGCACCGGAATCGAACAGAAGAAATTATTGTCCATCTTGTGTCATTGTATATTGTTCAGAAATGATTATATCATCAACATTCCTTGGATCAGACAGTGGGTGTTTTAACGTTTGACGTTGACGCCTGATGTTACGCCGTATGTGTGGAACCGAGGGCAGCTTGGCCTTGGCATCTTCAGTAATCGTAGTAATGGACTGAGTGATGATCTGCTGGGGTGTTGCTGCCAGTTGTTTCATCTGCTGCACTACTTTACACACTTCCAGTTGAGATGGATCTGGTCCATGCGAATGTTCATTACATCGTCCAACAAGCTGTTCACCATGAATCTTTATTTTTGCTTTGCATTCTGCCTTGTTGCGTCTTTTGGAACACTCAAATGACACAACGCCGTTCGCCAGATCTTTTTGCTTGACATAAACATAGCCTTCAAAAATCACCTTTAAATTTCCTTTATTGGATTGAACGAACTCAATTCCAGAAAATATACGATTTGTCGAGAAATAAATTTGATTTTATATTTATACCATGGTTCTGTATGCCAAGGTGGATATGAACCAAGCTTCCGCCGGTGAATCCCTCACATCTTTTGAATTGTTAAGAATGTGTTGCTTTCATCCGCACGGCTCCCACATGTGGATGACCTATATCTAAGGTGTTGTCGGTGCCCGATCTTTGATCAAATACAACTAAGGTCACTCCTTGATTTCGAAAAGCATTTTTTTTAGGTAGAAACTATTTTCTTGGTCGTAAAAAATTAAATTAATTTAATGTAATTTTTTTAAATTTCTTGGTTCACATAGTTATTTTTTCTTTATATAAACCTCAGTCCGGGGGTTATTATCCGGGGGGGGGGGGGGGGGTTATATCGCGGGGGGTTTTTGTCCAGGGGGTTTATGTCGCGGGGGGTTTTTGTCCAGGGGGTTTTTGACCGGAATTAGATCTTTTACTTGCATGTGAAATTTCATTTATCCATCTGAAATAGTACTCTCAAGTTATAGACTTTAGAAAAATTCAAAGTAGAAAAAGTTCCACTTCCGGTTATCGGAAATCGCTCAAAAGTTGATACGGATCTACGATTTTGATATAATACTTATATATGAAATTTCATCAACCTAGCTGTAACGGTATTCAAGTTATCGTGTTTACACACAGACATACGGACAGAATTGGATAATCCAGTTTTTCCGACTCCATTACGCATAAAACGCCAAAATTTTGATATATCTGGATTTGTAATTTTTGCCTGATTAAAATAAGTCCTCTACATCCCGGATGTGATGAAGGACTGAGGAGTAAAACGGTGAAAACTGTCCAAATTTAATGTGATTTTTGTGCACGATTATAAGACTTTCTCTATACTTCGTACATACGAGAAAGTAAAAATTGGGCAAAGAACCCCAAAGTTCAAGAAACCCAGAATAACGAAAAATCTCGAGTTTTTTTTTTTCTGCGCATATCCCACTAATTCTAAATGTAAGCCCTGCTAGGGGGGGGGGGGATACCTTAAAATCTATTCTACCCTTCCCTAGGCTTATCTAACTAACTACTGTCCGGTCAGTGCAAGCCCGGATAAACCCAGACTGGTTAATAACCTAACCTTAGTCTAAATAAAATACTAAAATAAGACAAAAGCTTTAACAAATAATATAAAATTTATTTAGCAAAATATGGAACCAAAAGTTATTATAAAAAAACTAGGATCTAGATCTAGACAAAATAAAACACTCAAGACATACAAAACAAACAGAACTCAACGAAACAAAACACCCAATTTCGGACCACTGTCCATACACCACATAAACGTGACACAGAAACTCTTCAACACACAGGCCTCGACATTCCAGCAGAATGTCCCTCCATGTCGACACACCACATTCACGAACAAAGAAACCAATACTACGAACAAAGAAACCAATGCTACGCACAAGAAAATAGCCCCTAATACAATAATAAGTAACATTCAGGACATAAAGCAAAGTGGAGCAACAATCCAAAACAAAGGTTGCATAAATAATAACATTAAAATATAAACAAGACACAATAACCAGGCTACAAACCATTGTAAAATCGAAATCATATCAGCGCCATAGTAGCGGACTACTTAACTAAAAACCACAACAATCCTCAAAGGGACATAAAAAGCGACATTCGCCTTCTTAGTTACAAATAATTATAATAACAGATAAACACACTCCAGCCGCTCACATACACGCCCCTTAAAGCTTGCGGTCACCGCAAGCTAAATAACTTGAAAAAAATCAGCCCACAGGGCATAATCATAAATGTTACAAAAATACAAAAACTTTGCACAATCACAATTTTGCAAAAGAACTTGCAAAAAAATCAGCCCACAGGGCACAATCATAAATTTTACAAAAAACAAAACTTTGCAAAAAAATCAGCCCACAGGGCACAATCATAAATTTTACAAAAAACAAAATTCTGCAAAAAAATCAGACGATGTGGCTGTAGCAGCCGGCGGTACAACTTTGACCGGCCTTGGGGAGGGCGGTTGAGCCTTGGGAGGTACATATCTCCTAATCTGTGTGCTGGCCACCCGGCGGGTGCCAGAAGGGCCATCTTTCTTTTTAATGGTGTAACACCCGCCGGTGATCGGAGGTAATTCGACCACGACATAAACTGTCGGGCCGTCCAGGTCTGCCATTTTGCGTCTGCCTAGTGGGGGTTGTCTCAGAAGGACCAGATCGCCTATGGCCAGTTCAGCTACAGGTGCCTTTTTGACCAGTTTGTCCTTCTTGCTTGACTCTGTCTGGGGGCATGCCCCAGCACCACCACTCGGTGCCTTAATTAAGGATGGGTTAGGTGGAACCATTGCCTCTAGTTCCTCAGATTGGTCCACCTTTACACTGGTTATGCTGGCGCGTAGGCAGGATGTTGGGCCTGATACCACTGACGGATCTGGGTGAAAAGGTTGGTCTAAGGGCTGTACCACCTTGTCGTCCTTCATTCTGGGGTCTCCTTCCGTCGCCTGAATGGTTGGTACACTCTTGGCAGGCACCAGAGTCCTTTCGCGGGGGCGGAGGACCTCGTCCCCTCGCCATACCTTCGGTGTCACTTGATTCCCTTTGGTCTCATATCTCTTTGCCATATGGCAATGACGGGCGAGGTGACCCCTCTGGTGACAGTTATAGCAGCCCTTTGATTGGACCTCCGTGCGCTTGCGAGGTGCTTGGCGCACATTGGAAAATTTGGGGTCCCGCGTAAAGTGCTTCAGCAGAGCAGCAAGCTGCTCGGTGAGCCTGTTGACTTTGTCCTCCAGCTTGGACCTGAACGAACATTTTTCAATGGGCCTGGCATTTATTGCTGCCACGTAGGCAGGTTCAGCAAGAGGGTCCTCGTCTCCAGACCATCGAATGGCCGCATCACGTATGGCCAGGAAGGGGATCTTGGGGTCCCGGAAAATCAGCTCGTGCAGATGGCGTCTGACTGTGGCCTGGCTCAGGTTTTCCACAAACTGGTCTCGAAGAAACCCTGCATCAGTCTGTGGGACCTGCAGGGCACTCTGCCTCGTAACCAGGGTCTTGAAGGCCCTGTGCAGTCGGTGCGAGTAGGCCCTCACCGACTCGTGTTGGCCCTGTACAACCATCTGAAACTGGGCCATGAGCTGCGGTACTCTCCTCTTCTCGCCGTACACCTCTCTGAGGAGCCTGAGGGTGGCTTCTGGGTCATGCTGCAGGTCATCACCCCTGCAGCTCAGCTCCTCTCTCACCGCTTCCCCCAGGTACTGCCAGAGGAGGTCCTTCCTCTCTTCTACTGAGAGGTTTCCCCTGGCCCTCCAGAGGGACTGGACCTCTTTGATGAACCGGTCCACCTCATAGCCATGGCTGTCCCCATGAAACTTCCTGATGAGGATCTCCCTGGGTGGAACGATGATGATGGTTGGTGCCACCTCCGCCATCTCGTCCGAATTGGGTGTTTTAAACAACAAACGGTTCCTACAATAAACAAAAACTAAACACAAATGGTTCCATAAAGGGCCTATCAAGAAAAAAATTTATCTAAACTAACCTAGATCTAGTCCTAACAGAAAAACAAAAATTTAACTAGACTAAAGCACTGACCCCACTCGTGCTACCAATTTGTAAGCCCTGCTAGGGGGGGGATACCTTAAAATCTATTCTACCCTTCCCTAGGCTTATCTAACTAACTACTGTCCGGTCAGTGCAAGCCCGGATAAACCCAGACTGGTTAATAACCTAACCTTAGTCTAAATAAAATACTAAAATAAGACAAAAGCTTTAACAAATAATATAAAATTTATTTAGCAAAATATGGAACCAAAAGTTATTATAAAAAAACTAGGATCTAGATCTAGACAAAATAAAACACTCAAGACATACAAAACAAACAGAACTCAACGAAACAAAACACCCAATTTCGGACCACTGTCCATACACCACATAAACGTGACACAGAAACTCTTCAACACACAGGCCTCGACATTCCAGCAGAATGTCCCTCCATGTCGACACACCACATTCACGAACAAAGAAACCAATACTACGAACAAAGAAACCAATGCTACGCACAAGAAAATAGCCCCTAATACAATAATAAGTAACATTCAGGACATAAAGCAAAGTGGAGCAACAATCCAAAACAAAGGTTGCATAAATAATAACATTAAAATATAAACAAGACACAATAACCAGGCTACAAACCATTGTAAAATCGAAATCATATCAGCGCCATAATAGCGGACTACTTAACTAAAAACCACAACAATCCTCAAAGGGACATAAAAAGCGACATTCGCCTTCTTAGTTACAAATAATTATAATAACAGATAAACACACTCCAGCCGCTCACATAAATAACTGTATTTTGCAAAATTAATTTTGAAATGCTACTATTAAAGGTTTATTTCCACGGGGCCTGCAGTGGCCTAATACTGCAGTTCAATGCCTCTCATTAATTGGCCTGTATAGACTATGTGTCATTTATAAATTTTCAATTTGTTTTA